TTCATCAGCAAAAGAAAAAAAAAAGTCATATAAACTTACAATGAAATAAATTATATTAAAAACAAAGGGAGTAAATAACCAAACTCATTGGTTACTAATTACTACATTTTATTATTCTCTCTGCTCCTGGTGTTATGTCTACTGTATCTTTATATTTGAAATACTAAATAATGGCATATTACTGTGCATCTCTTAATTCTGTATTTAGAGACATGAAGTTGATAGCTTGAAATGGATTTGGGAGTAGAGATACAGTATTTGTACCACAAAAATTGTCACATACTGCAAATCAGGGCTACTACCACCACCACACCAGAGAGCCAGTTTTCAAACATTTACTAGCACATCACTGGCCATATGGGTCAGACAGTCACCTATGGTAACTCTGGTACAATTAGAGAATTAGATGAGATGATCTCCTGTGGTCTTTGGATCCCGAGCAAAACAAAGACTTGCAAATCTCCACAGCTACTATGCATGCATTCGGTGCAGAAGAAAATGGCATTTCTGGTCAGCTGTTGGATGAAACTCACTTTGACACTTTGAGTCATGGGACATGATTTCTCCAGCTTTGCTAGTGTTGTTTATGGATACAAGGGGTTAAATGCTAGAACCCCTGTATGGCTGTCAGAGTGAAGCCAGATACTAGATAAACCACAAATGATTTATTTCTTTGCCCCAGAGAGGAGGCTATCTGGGAAATCTGTACAACAGTGCCAGGGTTTGGAAACCAGGAGTTAACATGGTTAGCTCTCTGGAGCCTCCGGGTAGAAGTCAAAAGGTCTAAGGAGCCATTGTTTTTGAAACTACCCAAGGGTTTCAACCACCTGTACAAATGAAGTTGCAAAGGATTGCAATCCAGCCACTCAGCCCTTCCCACCAGGCCAGTCCCTGTGGGTTTAAACACGTTAGCCACTTACAAGTACCTTCTTCACAGACACTGTTCTCTGGTGTGGATGGGTCAGAGTTCTGGATGCTTCAGGCATCCACAGCTCCCACTTGTCATCCTTTAAGGGTTGGTTCCTTCATTCTTACAACAAACACAATGTGCATCTGTTGTGAGCCTGGCACCATGCTAGGAGACTCGAGGGCTACAAAAATGAGGAAGACACAACCCTGCCCTCAAGGAACTCACAGTTCCTTGACGAGGAAACAAGTATTTGCAGTACAATGTGATACCCCAATTTATATAGGTGCACCGTGAATGAATCTAAGAAAAGAATGAACAGCTATGCTGGGGGATGGTGGGGATGGTGACTTTTAGGGAAAGGGGCCTTGACCTATGTTCAAGATCTAATTCAAGATAGGCGTTCTCTCTGAAAGAAGTAAGGGGCCATCATGCAAAGTATGGTTTGGAGTGCTAAGGCACTTTCCCAGGGACCCTGACAGTCTTTGTTCTTGGGAGAGTATGATAATTGATTTTGCAGCATGATCTTTGAACACAATAATGTTACCACCCCCACCAGTGTCAGCAGAAATGTCCCAGGAGCCTAACTGCCCCAAAGCAATTAGCACATGTTCTGGTTCTTTAAAAAGGAGAAATTGGGAAACTGGACTTGCTCAAACTTTTCTCTAAGAACATTTATTTCCAAAATGTCTCCCACTGGGTGTTATGTCAAGCAACTCTCAGACTGTTAGCAGCCGCAGACAGGGAGGAGACCCGATTAGGTCTTCAACCGCACCCCAAGCCCACTTCCAGATCTCAGTCCCAACCAGAGGCCAAAAGTTGATTTGAGTAGATCAGAGTAATTTGACGGAGGGAACCAAATGGGGTCAAAGGACCCAGGGGTTAAAGAGGGACACACCTCAACATGCCTGAAGACAAGTGTCCCTGAAAGTCACCAGCTGAGGTGGCTCAGCTGGCCACACTGACCTTGGCAAGCAGCACTCAGCTCTGAAATTAACCTGTCAACTAAATTGAAGGGGAGAAAAGGCAGAAGGGCTAGGACACAAACACCCATCCCCACCCCCAGTTCAATCACTGACGTCAAGCCTGGCGTGGGTGGTATTAATCATACCAGCCTCGTGTTCAGTTGAGGACAGCTCTCCTTCCAGCCCTTCCAACCCGTTCCTGGGAGCGTTCCACCAGCCATGCACCTGCCGCTGGTCACAAACCCTCAACTCCCAGACAGGCACGGATGCAGGCTGTCGCTGACGGCACTCAAAGCCAGCGTACACCCTTTAGAACCCAGGCTGGGGGGAAGGGGGAGCAAAACGTGGTGCCCATGCTTTCCTCCCAGGTGCGCATTTCTCTAATCTCTGCAATGCTCCCTCCAGAGAAACTCTCCATAAGATGGTCATTTCCTGGGGATTTAATGAGGATATAGAATTAATGGCCCAAAGCGCTCCTTGCAGCCAGCCGGTCATTAATTCCCCCAGGAAATACCCATGGTCTTTAATCAAAATTGCCTAAATTATAGACTAGTGATGCATGTCCTCGCAGGGTTGGGGTAGGGGAGGGCCTGTCATCCCAGCCGGTTTCGATAGATGGCGCCTATCTTCATGTAAATAAATCACTAAAATAATTTGTTTTCCATTTCTCTCCAGCGAGCATTAAAAAAAAAAAAACATAGCAGGGGGTGGAGAGGACTTAGTAAAGGCCCAGACAGGAACGTTCTGTCCGAGGGCTGTTTCCAGGCCTGGCACACACCTCAGGCTCAGAAGACTGAGCCACACCAGGCTGCAGCCAGGGACCTCAGCAGCAGTCCTCCCTCCTAGGCGCAGCCTAAACTGGGCGCTGGCAGCTTAGTAATGAGAAAGGTAGGGTGGGAGTGAGGGGGGGCAAGAGAGCACGAAGAAGAGCCCCTTTCTCTAACCTTTGGAAGGAGGGGTATGTTCAGAGAAGACTTTCTGAAGCTGATGCTCTGTAACTATTGTATTTTATGATCCCTCCTGTCATTGGCTGAAAAACATCAAATTTCTGTTTCCACATAGAATTGTAAATAACACGGAGGTGGGGCTGGGGGGGAGGGGTGCTTTTGCTAAAGGAAGTAAGACCCTAAGGAGTTTCTGACAGAATGCAGCCCAACCCCCAACTAACTATTGCTCAACAGCCTCATTAACTATCATATGGATATGTAACAGAAGACCACCCTTCCAGGGAAGGACAGGGCATATGTATACTGACTTGCATCACAAACCTCAGTTGCAAACAACCATGCAGATTTCTCAGACTCTGCAATCCCTGAGACTTGGCACCATGACTCAGATGTGAATGAAGTCAGAAGGATTGCTTTGTTTTGCTTGGGAGTCACCACCTCCTGATTGATTTGGCAGACTGGATTATTTTGATATTTGTCTGACAGGGTTTAAGGTACTTAAGGCCAGAGGTTAAAATGACTACAATTCTGGTGGTCGCTTTTGTATGAGGCTTAAGGATCCCTAAACTGGAAGGTTAAGGGACCTCTGGTCCCAGCTGTAGCTTGGTAGTTCCAGCTTTACATTCAATCCAGCAGCACACCGGCTAGTGAAAAAAGTCAGTGAAATGTTAGGTCCAGGGAAGCTGATCTCTAAACCTCCCAGGGTGCTTAGGAGAGCTAAGCAGGTAGTAAAGGATTAGCTTTTACAAACTGATCGAAGTGGATCAACTTTCCCCAACCCAACCAAGATCTGTAAAACCACAAGGATGTCCAGCTGCTTGAAACAACTAGCTTTGCTGCACAGGGAAATTAACAAAATAGCCTTCAAGTTGTATGGGGAGTGCAAGATGCTGCTTCCCTTGCACGGCTGCCCCCAGCACAGTTCCCTATTGACATCATGGGTTACTATCCACTTCTCAAAGAAGTTGGGGGAGGACGTACATTTTAATGTTGTTTGTAAAGTTAATTTGTGAGTTGAAAAGAGCCCCTACCAAAGGTGGTGTTTTTTCCCCTCCATCCTCCCCCTGAAGGGCTGAGTTGTCAAGTGTGTACTTCTACATACTTTTTCTCAGTTAAACATCACCACAACGCAGTGGTATATACCAACTCATATGAGCCCCAAAGAGGTCTCATAACCTGTGTCAAGGAGTTGGAACTCTAGGGAATTTTGACCCCAGTTTCTTGTTCTACACCACCTTGCCTTCCAATTCACTATAAAATACGTTGACTCATTTTTGCTTCCTTGATTCTGCAAATCATATGAATTTTCTTCTACTGAATTGTTTTTCCCAGAGGCAGTGTGGGAGCCAGCTGGACTTTATTTCCTGGTAATAATTGATCCGCAGACATTAAAGCAATTCTCCCACTTTAAATAGCAGAGAAGCGGGACACCTTCCCCCCCCCCCCCCCCCCCCCCCCCCCCCCCCCCCGACACACACACGTCCCACCCCCACCCCCAGGATTAGAAAGTAGGCTGTGCGTTGCACAGGCTTTGGGACCCTAGGCTATCTGTAAAATGGGAACAATACTGCCCGCCCAATTGAAGACAATCACGTAAACAAGAAAGGTAAAAGCGCCCAGCACGTAGTAGTCTGTTTTCTTCTTTCCTACTCCCGCCAAGGGGGCGCGAGAGTTAATGAAACTCGTGTGGGAAGCGAATCAGTGATTTCAGCTAGAACCTGACCCACTGAAACCTGAAGCTCTGAGAATGGATAGGAAACAGGAACCCCCTCGGGTCCCTCCCTGACGACCCTCTGTGAAAAATCGATCCGCTATCGAGGGCGCGCAGCCCCTCCCTTCCCCTCACCCCCCTCCCACTCCCCGCAGGGGCGCGGCCGCCTCTCCTGCTTGTGCCCGACGTTTCAGGAAAGAGCGAGCCCCGGGGGCGCGGCCGGCGGCGGGCTCCGGCGTCCTCGCGCGCCCTGGGCCCCTCCGTCCAAAGACTTGGCGCGGCGGGGCTGCGTCTTTGACGGCGGCCCGCCAGCGGGCAGGCGGGCTGTGGGCGTGGCGAGCGCCCCCGCCCCCGGGCCGGGCCGGGCGAGCGCGCGTGCGCGTGGGGAGAGCGGGCGCGCGCGAGGCAGCCGAGCCCGCGCCGCGCCGCCTCGTCTCGCCCGCGGCCGCCGGCCGCCCGGCCCCTCCCCTCCCCCGCGAGCTGCGCACCGCCGGCCCGCTGACCCAGCGGCCCGCGCCCTTGTCCGCCCGACCCCGCGGCGGGCTCCAGGCGGCGGCAGCATGAGCGGCGGCGGCGACGTGGTGTGCACCGGCTGGCTGAGGAAATCGCCCCCCGAGAAGAAGTTGAGGCGCTATGTGAGTGCGGGCGGCGGGCGGGCGCGGCCGCCGAGGGCTGGGGGCTCCGGGGGGGAGCGCGCCGACGGGGAGGGCGGGCCCCGGGGCCTCGGGGGGGCGAGGAACGGCCGGCGCGCCCCGCGGCGCGGCGCCGTGTGGGGCACCTGCACACCTGTCACAGGTGCGCCGCCGAGGGGCGGGGCGGGCGGGCGCGGGCTGCGGCTCGGGCTCGGCAGAGCGGGCGCGGCGGCGGCGCCTCCCCAGCAGCCTCCCTGTGAACTGAATACAGTGTTGAAGTTTGTACTGATTGTTTTGGGAGACTGGGAGAGTTGATTCCCGGGGCTAGGGGCCGTAGGTGCCCTGAGCGGCCTCGGCCTGCAGGACTGGGGGAGTGAGCGGGAGAGGGGGCGCAGGCTGGGGGGCCGCGCGCCCCGGCCCCCACAAAGGGCGAGGCGCCTCACACCCTTTCCCCCTTCCCTTTCTCTGCCCGCCGCTCCCGGGTGGCCGCCTGCTTCCTTCCAGTCCACAGCCTCTGCATCATGGGCAGCGTCAGCGGCATGTGCAGCCCTTGTCTTAAGTGACTCATTTGTTTGTCCCCCTTCTGTCCCTTTATTCTGTATGTCTCTCACATGCATCCCCCCAGCACCACCACAATGGTGACACGGCAGTTTGGTCTGCTGTAACTGGCCTCGGTTTTGTGTTTTGCAGTCCTTGGTGTCTGGGGTCGGGCGAGATCAAGGTTCTCAGTTGCCAGGTGGTGCTAACCGACAGTGTTTACTGAAATTGCTGGGACAGCTTCTCCCCTCTAGGTGAGAAACTGTCAACATCAAGGGGAAGGTGGTACAGGCTGGTGCTGAGCAGCGGTGAGGAGTTCTGGCTCCCCCCCCCCCCCCACCAGATTATGCCTTCCCTGGTGGGGTCAAAGTACAAGATGGTGCTAATTACTGAGATTTGGCTGGAATCAGCTCTGGGATGTTCGCAGGAGTTTGGAAATGGAAGTAAGGTCGCTAAAAGGTGTCAAGGTCTCCCGTTTTTTTCCCTGTTCACTTCCTATGAAATGCCCTTGTTAAAGTGACCCGTGGTGCTGGACTCTCTGGGCTCATTCCCACAGCATGGAAGTGAGCTGTTGCCTTCCAGCTGCAGTGCATCAAGGGAGCTCTGAACAGACCCTGCCCTCTGTCAGCTGCACCAGTGGCTGTCCATGGGGGGAGAGGCAGAAGCTTACCAGAGTTTCCTGTCTTGGCTCCCCAGATCAGAACGAAGGGACTTTTGGCCTCTGGATTGAGGAAGTGACATTCTGTTTTTCAAAGGAAGTGTTGTTGTTGGGGAGTTGCAAGTGTGTGTGTATGTAAATGAAATCAGGCTCTTATTTAGATCATTTGCTGGGAAACATCTATGGTTTTGAAAGTGGACAAAGATTTAAAATATAGTAGGGATGAGGCAATGAAGTTTTCCTCTCAGTTTTAAAGCTCATTTTCAGGGATGTAGCCAACGAATTACAAATACTAGGAAAGAAGTTTTTCTCCTTTTTAGGGTTGTATTAATTCTCCTTTTTAGGGTTGCTTAGGTGAATTTTTATATTAGGTTGAGGAAGAGTTTGCTATTAATGTTTTTATAAATATAAGAAAACAAAAAGAAGTCTTTGACCCTAAAGCCCTTCTGAAAACTATCAGTACAAGTGTAATACCACCCTAGCTAGTGGAATAGAGTATCCAGTAAAAATGTAACTCTTAATTGGCAAATTAGAATGCTACCCTGAAGATCCTTGAAACTTTGTTTTTGAAACAGTTTGTAAACAATTTGACACTGTATCTCTATTTGACTGATGACTTCTTCAGCTCTGTCATCCGTGCTCTCTTTATGATCCATTTCTTGGGTATTTTTGTTCCCGAGCAGCTTTAGCTCAAAATAACCAAGTTTGGAGGCCTTGGGGTCAAGCACCTTTTACACCCATTTGAGCTACTTGACACCTTACACTCATGTGATGACCTCAACCTCCTTCCCATCTTCCTTGCAGCTGCAGCCTATGAGGTGTCTGACCCAACCAGCAACAGCTTTTCTTAGGCTAGGGTGTGATGTGTTCCACTGGCACAACTGGAAGTCTCCCGACTATGGGAGTTCATTTCCCTTAGTTAAAACTGAGCTCATCTGTGTAATCCTAAACTCCTGGAGAACCGTCTGCTTTTATATCTCCTTTTTGGGGGGGGAGGGGGGAGGACCGAGTATTGGGAATTTCTGCATCCTGTTTTAAGTTAGAACTCCGCCAGTTCCCTCTGTTCATTAGAGGTCCAAGTTCATTAAAACCAAACTTGGAGAAAAGTATTTCCCAGCCCCATTGCTAAACACATACCGCAAATTAGCTGCTGCTTCTGCTCTGTGTAATAACCATGTAATATTATAGATTAGTAAATCTTCATTATGAGAGTGTATCGAGCATTTGAGATAAAAGCAGTTTATGAAATAGATTACAACTATTTAAAATTATTTTTCAAAACCTGTCTCTTATTTAATTTGGGGAGGGGGTAGGTGTAGAGAAAAAACAACTTAGAAGAAGCTATGGCAAATGTTATCAGGGATTAGCTTTAGGGATTTTTTTTTCACCAGCCTTTTCTAATTTATTAATCATAAGAAGGTATAAAAGGTCTCTTCGCTATTTGCTATGCACCCTAAGGAATTATAAAAGTGACCTTGGGGAAATGGTGAGTATTGCCTCTGGGGCATCATGATGCAGTTGCCATAGGAGGCTGGCAGGACTCCCATCATACTGCACTACGTATGTGTGTGCATGTGTGCACACGTGTGAACACGTACACACATATATACATGTCTATGAAGCTGAAACCAGAATTTCTTGGGGGAAAAACATATTTTATGACATACGCTGCTCTGTAATTTTCTATTCATTTCATTGGGTTCAAGGATTTCAGGAAAAAGATTGGCAGCAGCACTGCCCCCTAGTGGCTAATTTGGAGAACGTTCTGTATTGAGTCTAATGAACAACTGCTTTAAGGAAACTTTTAATTTCATTTATTAGATAAACTTATGTTTTAAATAACTGGGTCCCAGGCACTGGGATAAATGCTGAGAATAAAAATTAAGCCAGCCCTTCAGTCTTAGCAGATGACCTTGCCTTCTCCTTCACGAAGAAAATTGGAACCATCAGGAAGTAGATGTCTGTACATGCTTCAACCAAACTTCCAAATTCTCCTGTATCTACATGGTTCCTTTCCTTTTTCCTTCTTCTTAGAGTAGATCAGGTGCCCCTTTTAACTGAGCTAACCCTGCTCCCTGTGCTCTGGATCATATCCTCTCCTACCGATTCAGATAATTCTTACCCTTTCTATCATGAATCTTCAGCTTTTTCCCCTCTACCTATTCCTTTCCTTTGACATGTAAACATACTTCCTTTTAGGGGCCAGTCCCGTGGCCAAGTTCTCATGCTCCGCTTCCGTGGCCTGGGATGTCGCAGGTTCGGATCCCGGGCGCGGACATGGCACCGCTCATCAAGCCATGCTGAGATGGCGTCCCACATAGCACAACCAGAGGCACGCACAACTAGAATATACAGCTATGCACTGGGGGCTTTGGGGGCAAAGAAGAAGGGAAAGAAAAAAAAAAAAAGATTGGCAACAGTTAGCTCAAGTGCCAATCTTAAAAACAAACAAACAAAAAACATACTTCCTTTTAACAAACTTCTCCCTCACTCACACCCTTTCTTCTCACTGTGCTTTCTCCTTTTTTTTTAGGGCTAAACTTGTGAGTAGTTGTTTATACTGTCTCCATTTCTCCCATCTTCTTCTCACTGGGCTCCGATCTGAAACCTACTTTGTCATTTCACCTAAACTATTCTCAGAAAGGCACCAGTGACAACCAGGTCATGAAATTCAGAGGTTTGTTTTCCACTCCTCATTTTAATTTACCTCTTCACTGCCTGATCGCAGTGGCACGCTCACTCTTTCTTGAAGCACCTTCCTCTTGAGTGATACCATGTATGCCTGGTTTTTCTCCTTTTTTGGCCACTCAGTCTCTTTTGCTAGACTGACCCTCTGTACCCAATCCTTAAAGGTTGAAGCTCCTTTATAGTCACAGTGGCTGTGGTCCTGGGTCTTTTCTCTGCCTTGGAGATCTCTCTTCCATTTTCCTGTCTTCAATTATCATTTGCATGCTGATCGTTATCAAGTTAAACTTCCATCCCAGAGTTGTGTTCTGAACTCGACTTGCATATCAGTCGTTAACTGAGCATCTCTACTTGAATGTCTCCCATTGAACACAAACTCACTACACCCCAAACTAAACTTATTTATTCCTCTCTTCTTCATCCCATGTCTGCCCAGTAAATGGTGCCACTGACCACCCACTTGCTCACATGAGAAACTTGGGAATCATCCTTGTCTCCCTGTCACCCGCTAGTCCACATCTAATCTTCCACCAAAACTCACTAGACCTATCATCTATATGACTTTTTCTATATGTTTCATCATCCCCACTACCATGACTCTTAGGATAATCATTTTAATAGCCATCTGTTGAGCACTTACTCTGTGCCATGCACTATGGTTAGATCACTGATCTCTTAATTTAATCCTTTTAGCCATATGAGATGGGAAACAACTTGCCCAATGTCACCTAGCTTTATCCCAAAGCCAGAGCTTTCTTTTTTTAATTAAATTTTTTATTTTGATTAATTGTAGATGCACATATAGTTGTAAGAAGTAGTAAAGAAAGATCCTATGTACCCTTTACCCACTTTCTCCTAATGGTAACATCTTGCAGAACTACAGTATAATATCACAATCAGGATATCAACAATAATACAGTCAAGATATAGGACATTTCCATCACTACATGAGCCCTCCTGTTGCCCTTTTATAGTCAAATCCGCTACCATCCCACCCTCACCACATCCTTAACCCATGACAAGCCCTAATCTCTCCATTTTCATAATTTTGTCATTTCATGAGTGTTAGATATAAATGGGTTCATACAGTATATAACTTTTGGGAATTGGCTTTTTTCATTCA